GCAAATAGGTATAATATGAGGAATATAATATACATGTCATGATTTAGTATGAGGAAGGATGGCCTCCTATTCAATCATAGAACCCACAAGAAGCAAAATCATTATTCAATAAAAAAATGACGGTGGGCATGTTTGTTAAATCACCCTGAATGGCTGAATCTACTGTAAGAATAATAAATTATACTAAAATTAATACGCGTTTTAAGTTTCAAACCAAATAATGAGATAACTGACTTTCCAATTAGGTAATTAATATGTTCTTATTGTATAAGCTATAATATAATATGTAATATGTTATGTAGATACTATTCCTACTTATAGTTACCACTGCCTGCTGTTACAGTCTATCATTAAATTACTTTCCCTATTTGTATAGTAATTATTAATTATAACTGAGTTTTAATTATAGTATTTAATATTTATTATAAACGCCAATAAATAAAACAGAATTGTATGCAGATAATGCTACTGGGAATTTATACAGCGGGCTCCTTGATTCACATTATTTAATCATTCCAAAATATAGGAAAACCAATTTTTTTTTGCCATTAAGACATTATAACACTTTTATGGTACATAAAGTCCATAAAGAAATATATATATATATATCATACGGTTTCTTAATTGTATAATAAACATTATAAATAATTATAGATATCAATTAAATATGTTACCTACCACTTTAACACTTTTTTATTTGAGTCATTTATTAAGGAAATATTATTTTTTTTACCAATTATTTATACATTGTGTAATGTCTAGTTATTAATTTTAGATACTATCTAATATAAGTATATAGGTAACTACTTATACTAACTATTATATAGGTAGACAGGTAGTTATTATTTATTATAATTATTAGTAACTACAAAAGGTCTATAGGAACCTAAATTAGATATCTACTTACTCTGAAAAAAAACCGAAAACTTGATATACATAATATACTTTATATTTTTTACCAGAGTATTTTTAATTTTAACAAAATAAGTTTTTTTAAAACATAAATTCTATATCAAATTTTAAAATATGATAGATGTTTTTTTCGTTCAATACAACAGTAAATAGTACCTAGATAAAAATCACAAGCGAAAAAAAACATAAGTCGTGTTAAAATTAATAAATTATAATTAACATAAATTAGAAAGGTATTTTACTATATAAAGTAATTAAAAACAGGAATTGAACATCATTGACCACTGGCCATTTTGCGATGTAGGCTATAGCTATTTAGTTTCCACGCAGATTAAAAAAAAAAATCAACTGAATGTCAGAACTCGAAGTATTTAAAATTAAAATTAAATAGGTGATAATTAAAGTTATTATTTGTATGATATAGTTGAATTTTAAACACAATAAACTTTTAACTTTCTGGTAATTTTTTGTACGATTTAGTTAAAATTTTAGTTATGATAGTTATTCTTATTATAGTTTTTACATTACGAGTAAAATGTAAGCGCGTGGCCCACATACAAATAATATGTGCCACTTGTCACTTGTGTATATGTATCTACTATCTATACCTACTACAGTGTTAGTGTGTAACATATGTATAATGTACATCGTACATTATACTTATAATTTGTATATATTAAATGATGCTGTGATGGTTTTGTAAACCTAAATAGCAATATCCTAATGATATTGTTGATATTTGGTATTAACTTTATTTTTTTTGTGTATTATGTACTTATGAATTACATGATATTAAAATGTTTAACTTACATCATTGTTTACAACGCCATGACAATCGAGACTTTCGTGCGAATCATAAGTCAAAGTGTACAAGTCCATCACAAACCTTGAATCTTTTTTATAGTGCCTTTGGTCGTATCGGAAATTGGTCGGGTTCATAGACCACGGATTTACTAGCATACTTGTAGCCATTTTCAGTAAATATTTGATTATTTAGAAAAACTTATGGTAACGTGTAAAATTAAAATGTACTTAATATTTATAGTTGCAAAACCAATGTCAATATAAACAATTCAAAGTAAACAAAATGTTGTTGCAAGTCTTGACGTTACGATTATTTGTATCACACTAAATGTATTTAGAATGAACCACTAGTAGTACATTAACTGTGGTTAAGTGAAAGTGCGAAGAATAACAAAAAAATAACCAGAACTAATCAAAATGTCCTTCTAGAATCCGTTGCGACTGGTCGCAGTCTCAATTCTCGATCGACGATAACATTTAACTAACGAAGAAGGAGTAAAAAAATCCATAACAATATATCACTCTTTGTCAAAAATGACAAATATAAATACCTACAGAAATTGTTACTGAATACACTGATTACAATGTAATTCAATATTTATTATGTGATTCAGTGGTTGTGTAAATCGCTTTCTCTAATGTAGGTGGCTGTATAATAACTATATTTTTCTTTATAAGAATAACCTTTTTTAATATAGGCACTAACTATACTAAGTAGTAAGTATAAGTATAATAATTTATACTTCAATGATTATTTTATATGACAACCTTTATAATACACATTACACATAATATTATTACTTAAATTATAATTTACATCATTAGACATTAGTGTATATTCGTGATTTAAACGAATTTCGTAAAAATTTGAAATTTAAACGAATAGGTACAAAAAAAGAGTATCACAATAAAACTAGTATGGGCATAAACATTCCTACCGTTCACTCGGTATATTTCAATTGGTATTTAATTTTGAAAGTGATCAAAATGTTCTTTTTTTTTGGAATATTTTCTTTAAATCGAGAACTGCATTTTTTACCTCAATAAAGTCAATTTTCCGTTTTTGTAGCTGGTTGTATAATATACTTATATACTCGTATACCTACGCGTGGCTTGAACAATCTAAAATATAAATTTTCTATCATTTTTTAATAATTAATATTCTACGTAGGTATATCACACGCCTGATTAATCTCAATATTTTGATTAAATGTGTTTTTTCGATTGCTTCCATCATGCATTATATTAATAAGTAATAACTAATGATTTTCGAACACAGTATTAACCTTTGAAGTTCCATCTATAATATTCGATCATCGCTGATCGTAATACTATGGGTAGCAAATTTACCCAAAACGGAAATTGTTTATGGAGAATTAAAAAAAAAAATAGATGATACATCAGTCAAGTTGGAAAAAAAAGTCGTATGTCACGATTTTGTGCAATAGCTTGACTTTTAAAATTGAATTTATTTGGTAGGCATAAACTGAATAGAATGTATACATTTTTCAATTTTTATATCATCTCTTATGAGTTTTTGAATACCGGAAACTCGACAACTTATCATAACAGCTCCGTCATAACTATTGCAAGATTAATTTGTCGTTATTGTTTTTTTTTATCTCTATAGAGTAAGTATGTTTTATATGCACTCGGATAATGACATTTCATCATGTCCAGAAGGATTAAAACAGCACCAAAATCTTTCAACTAGCTACAGATGCCATCAGATAAAACATATCGGCTGAATGTTATAAGATTTATGGATATTTGACAATGTGCTGATACAAATGTTGTTTCTTCAGATATAAATATATAATACTATAAGAAATTAGAAATCAGAAAGTTTTACATAGGTACCTAACTTATTTTTTTATGTCAACTTAGATTCTCAAGTGGTAAGCACGAAAAGTTAATGTTCGAACGTAACGTCCATATCCAACAATAATAATAATAATAATACCTAAAAGACTATAGGCAATAAATATTAGGTACAATAATATTACATTGTTACATCTTATTACGTCCTATAAGACGATTCACATCGAAAAGATGATTAGTTGGCAGTGGCTATAACCGAAGTTGACAACGATATTATACAACTGATGCACTATAATGATTCCAATCAATCACAATATAAATAGAATTTCCTAAAAAAAATATTTTGGATTTTGAACAAAAACTATTCATATATATATATATATTAATTTTAGTATTTTACAACGATTGTGTGTGTTTATGTAAATATTTAAAACAAATTTATTTGGATCACATAATATTTCAAAAAAATTTTGAGTACTTTAATATCTTTTATTAAACCGTATAGGACATAGGTAATGAAATATGTTGCTATTATAATTTTTCAATAGCTGGAGTTAATTTGGCAAAACTTAACTTATGAATATACTTTTTTTCTAATCCCGGTTTTATAATGTATCTAGTCTTGAGCATTTTTTATACGAACTGCAGCATTGTTTCTATCTAACATGAAAATAATACGGTGTATTAATCCGAAATTCTTACAATGATAAATTATTAAATTACAATTTCATATACAATAGCATATACAATAAATTTAAATATAAAAAAATCCATAAATAAAATTTTTTAAATGTACAAATTAACTTGCTATTCACGTGTTAATGGGATACTTGAGCTTGACTTTTGATATTATTGATTTGATATTAGAGACTGCAACTCCTTAAGTCTGATACTATATTTAATTTTGTCTGATCTTTGTTTTTTATTACTGTAAGATCTGAAAACGTTGTTTCACACAAGCAATAGTGGATGCAAATGGTAAAGTGTTGATACAGCTATTTTTGTCAGTTCTGGGTATTCTGATTTTATAGAAATTCAAAATTTATCACTTGTAATTTCATTAAACTTTATACGCAGATTTTCATCGGAAGATAACTCGATTAGTTCCTCTTTCATAACTAAACTTAATTCAGAATGCAATTAATAACTATTTAATAATCTATTTTCAATATAAGCTATCGGTAAGATGGTTAGAATATAAGATTATGCTCCTCAGCATATTATTGTAGAACAAAATAAAAATTAACTTTATTTTATTTTTAAATAAAATGGAAAAATCGTTTCGTCTATTGTTTTTGGCGACTCCCAGATTGAAAACCACTGGTCTAAGGCACAGTAAGTCGGTAACTATCTACAGCTGCGATCGTGATTACATTATTAATTATTATTGTATTGTGGAATGGAATTGTGTTATCATTCATTATCAACATTGATGCAAATCGCAGGCACAGCTGCTGCTGCTGTAGTTTTCAGATACGTATTTTTCAAAACGGAAATAAAATCTAATATAATATTAATTAAATTATTCGTGGACACTTGGAACAGTAGTAGACACTGAGCAATGTGCGTTGGTACTGTTTAGACAAGAATATTAAAATAATAATTATTGTCACTGTTTGTAAATGTAGTCTATTGATAACGATTTGGCGTGGGTATTAAACATTTTGCTTTAACTCTGTACGGTGAATACATTGTACTTTAACTCGTTGAATTATTCGGCGACTGGATTTTTGATTTTTGATTCTAAACGTTATCCCACTGAGTGCGTTAATATCTTTTAAATTTAATTTAGTTTTCAAGTTGGTTGTTAATCATGCAGATCAATGACGCAAAAAGCATAATATTTTATAATGGGCCAACTAGAAGATCTTCTTGTGGTTACTGCAAGAAAGAAAATTCCAGCTTTAGCACTGGTTAGCATAATATATTATACATATTTTGTCGATGCTTTTACCTTAAATATACATAATATGATTGATTGATAKGAATGTGGGCTTCAAGTCTTACAGTAGGAGCATATCAAGATATGATTGATCGTGGGTGGCGCCGTGCTGGCAAGTATTGTTACAAATCATCGATGGAAAAGACTTGTTGTCCACTTTACACTATCAGGTATAATCTGTTTTTTAAAAAGTCAGATAAAGAAGTATAAAGTTATAGACGTTTGCATGTTTTAAGACTGCTGTGTAGTTTTTAGTTTTTATTTATACCAAACTAACAATATGGAAATATAAAAATAGTAACAACTTAAAATATGGTTTCTAAAAGAATTGTTCTTGACTGGAAAATCTACCTTGGTATTTATTTTAATTAAATTGTATTCTATTTTAAACTTGAATGTGACTAACTATCAAATTATTTCATTAAAATAGATGTGATGCTTTAAATGTTGAGTTATCAAAGTCCCAGAAAAAAATTATAAAAAGAGTAACTACATTTTTAAAAAATGGGGAATGTGAGAAAAATCCAGTTAATACTGAATATGCTGAAAGAGAGCCCATCATGAAATATGAATTAGAAGGTAAGTTGCACCTTTAATGAACAAATTAATACATAAATAATTATGATTTATTATACTTCTAGATATACAAAATCATGATGATAAAATGAAAATTACTAACACTGACTTATTTGACGAAGATCAAAATTCTTCTGTTATTGGTTCTCATAATAGTATTTTAGCTGCTATAAATAAAGGTAATCAAAATTAAAAAAAAAATCGTAATTGTGACCATTGAATTATTAAACTAAACATATATATCATTGATAACAATTTTTCAATACTTTTAATTTTATAGAAGATAGCAAAATGGTTGTACCTCTTAATTTAAGTTGCAACTCTGAAATTAAGAAAGAAACCAAAAAAGTTAAGCCTGGTATAGTTTTTTTTTTTTTTTTTTATCTTCTTAGCTACTGTTAATAATATTAAATAATATTAATAAGATAATAATTATCAACATTTGTAAATACTGAAGGCGAAGGAGCTAATCCAAATTTGCCGATTTCAAAAAAAAAAAAATTATTACGTATTCAAAAGAAACTAGCCAAGGATCCAAATTTTGTACCTAAAAATTCAGCCCCTCAACAAAAGTGTTTGGAAGAATTTATTGCAGAGAATGATTCAGTATCTACTGGTGAAGATAAAAAGTTAAGAGTAAGTAGTCATATTAATAGGTTAATTGAGAAATATTTTATGTAATTATAAATTTTATTCATTGCTAATTTTTARGTACCTTCTTTTAGTGGTATAACTAACTGACTAACTGATTCTAACTTAATTATGTGACTAGTGTTAATAATAAATTAATCATTATYTAACAGTTAACTATTGAATTATACTTTTTTAACTTAAACATTCAACATGTTTACTTAATTTTAAAATGCATTCATATACGTCCAGCATAGGTAGAACTATACTCCGGCCACTGAGAGAACGCTATTATTACGCACATACAATTGATTGAGCTCTGTGGTGGTTCCGTGTCCAAATTTTTCCCACTCTACCACCTAATTGCTGTGGGAATGCGCAAAAAGAGGCAAATGATTGCAACTCAGAAGTGTTCTMTTAGTGGCCGTAGTATAGAAATAATTGTTATAAGACTGAGCCACTAAATTGTATAACTTATGTACTATTTTCCTATTTACCTGTTCATGATATTGCAAACTTTCATAATTTGTTGATTGATATTTTTTAATTGAGCATTAATTTCCTGTTTTCAAAGATATCCAAAAGATAAATGAAGTCCAAATTCATAAATTGTATGTAAAATACTGGAGTATTAAGGTACTTGCCTAYATTATTCTAATTAAGGCTGTCATTGAAGGGCATAGGTTAWAAMAAAATATAATATAATATTATTGTCTGTGCGTTCCAYATTATATTTAATTTTTTTTTTAAATAAATACTATATTTAGAATTTTAAATACTTTTAATAATAATTTCTGATAAATAATCATGATTATCATTTTACTAAAAAATAAATCATGGTATTTATTTTTTGTACTTATTTTCAACTTTTTGTTTTTAATATATTCAATATTTTAAATTACATATACTGTAGTTATTAATACAACATTATCTATAGTTGAATAAAATATATAGTTTTAGTTCTGGATAATACACACATATATGCATATATTTTATAAACAAAATTAAAATTATTTACTTTAATCATACAATTATATTAAATAATAGATTTAAATGATTAACATGTATACAAATACACATACATTTTAATTTACCAACCTTATATTTACTAATTATACAGTTAATAAAAATTAATTTATAAGTCAAAGCTTAGAAAGTAAAACTACAATCATTATGAAATTTAAATTAAATAATCAATATTAAATAAAGTTAAAAAAAAAATAATATATAATAATTAATTGAGATAAGTAGTTAATTAATACTTGATTATTTTTTTTTTTACTCAAAAATACAAATAATTTTTATGTATAGATATAATAATTAAGATAACCAATTTAAAAAAAGTAATCAATTTTAGATAAAATTATTAATGATGAAATCTTCAAGCAATTCTTTTGAAGATGAGTTTGCAGTATACCAAAAATATCAAACTATTATACATGATGATAAAATTGAACATTGTTCGAGAGAACAATTTATTCGATTTCTTATTGATTCACCACTAAAAGTAAGATTTTATTTMTTAACTTATTGAAAACTTTGTATGTATAAGGTGTCCTTGGTCAAGACCGGTACAGAAGCATTTGCTCAAACTTTCACTGCTGGAGCTGCCCTATTTGCCAAATACCAAATAGCTGTGCACAACGACAAAGYAGATGACTGTGATATGGAACAATACTTATCATTTCTTGTTGATTCTCCTTTGAAGGTATCAATAATTTCCTATGGCAGTAGTGTCGCATGCTATTTACACAATAATTGTTATCTACAAATTTTAATACACTATGTTGTATGGTWTCTACACWTGATTGATTGTAATCTTACCTATATTATAAATTGACACACTTCATGAATCAATTATGAATGTCAAAAATTGTGACACATTTTTTGGTTTAAAAATTCATTCAAGTTCTGTCAATATTTAGTGGCGATGTGAACTTTTATTTCAATGACACAGTTAAAATTTTAAAAACCCACCACCCACATTTATGTCAACACCAAAATATTTTWAAAAAAGATAAGAGACTAAAAATATTTGATTGTTTTCAGTGTACAGGTATACATGTGTTTAACCTAACCTAATCTTAAAATAAGCTCTTAACTTCTACTCAACTACAAATGTCAACTTTCAACACTCGCCAACCCACCTACCATTTTTTCGTCATTAACTTCAATGTCCTGTAGATTAGATATCACCTCTAACTTAATTTTGGTGAAAAACCATCTGTGGCTTTTTTTGRATAAATAATATTTGTAGATATCATACGATATGAACATTTATTGTGTATATAGCATACCACATTACTACCTTTCCTAGGACTAAAATACCACGTCATCTGTAACACAGTTTTTTTAAAAAGTTTTTTGGTCCRATCGATCCACCAACTTGACAAATGCTTCCAAGTCCAACACACCGTAATTTTTTTATTTAATTTTATTAATTTTATTTCTAGGAGGAAAAATCTAAACATCCTGATCATCCGGGATATGGTTCATTTCATCAACAATACTGGCTTGGTGATAAACTAATAGCTGTTGGAGTAATAGATATTTTACCAAAATGTGTATCATCTGTATATTTATTTTATGACCCAGATTATCATAGTTTAGTGTTGGGAACTTATAGTTCTTTGAGGTAAATTCAAAATTGTTAATAATAAATAATTACTTTAAGATTGAAAACAATTAATGCTAATTATGTTTTAGGGAAATATATTTAGTTAGACAATTGTATCAAATGTCCCCAAATTTGAAGTATTACTATATGGGCTTTTATATACACTCTTGCTCAAAAATGCGCTATAAGGCAAAATTTCGACCATCTTATCTATTGTGCCCCCTTAAATACACATGGCATGCAATTGACAAATGCATTCAAAAACTTGATAATGAAAAGTATTCAATATTCAACGAGTCTGGTGACATTCAAGATGCTGATATTTYCACAATAGATAATGTAAATATTTATTGGAAATAGACAATAGTGTACCCATTCATTAATATTACAATTAATAGATTCCAGTATTGTATCGTGGTTCATTGATGCCTTATTCAGCGTTTAAAGTCATTGGTAATAACAAAGATGAAGAAGAACGGGTTCAAGAATATAAATTATTAATTGGGCCTAAACTAGCAAAGAAATTAATTTACTGCATTATGGATTAATTATCAATAGTTTCCATCATTAAAATATTGATCTGAAATTTTTAACATTTTATGAATTATGTCAAAATGTATTATTTATTTAGTTTTCAGTCTTTATTATGAATWAACATTTATATTATATACAATTATAAAACATACTATCAAGTTAAAGTATTTGAAACTTTAAATTTCCTAATAATTTTTTATYTTTTTGCTAATTATGTAAAAGTATTTCTTAAAATTTAAAYTGTTYCYGAATAAAATAGTTAAGTAAATGTAAGAAATGACGTCCTTTTCTAACTAAATTGTAATAATTATTTTTAATTCTCATATGGTATTTAGTAGATATCAATTTTTTTTTTTAAATTTAAGTTTCAGTGAATAGAAAGTACCATCAATGTCTTATTTCCTTAAATGTTTTCATGATTTTTATTTGGGAATAGTAAATATCCAAAAATTACTTCCTTAAAAATAATAAATACTTGTATCTGATAGTCAAAATAAGTGCTGCAAAATATTATATTTTGGTCAAAGCATTAAACATTTTTTTTTTTTTATTCGACTTAGCACCTTCACTGCAGATGACATAAAATAGCGTCATTTAATATTGTTTAAATACACTGAATGATGTCTTGTACCTTGTTATTAAATGCATTTCAATTTGGTTAGTGCTACAATTTACCTATTCATAGTTAGTTTGTTTTGCTATAAGTATTTCATTTGCATATGTAAGTAATACATTACATTTTAATTTTAATTTTTTTTTTTTTAATATCTCAATGTTTTAAGCATCACAAGTATACTCAAATATGATATGCAGTGAATGTGTTAATATTAATAATAATAATAAGGATTTAACATGTTAYTAATGACGCCCACCATATATAGTTAACAAATAAAATAACTTGTACATAAAATATATTATCAGTTATTTTATTACACATAAATGTATTAAATAATATAATATGAACTTAAAATAATAAACTATAAATTTCAAAACATATGACTATTTATTTAAAAGTAYCATTGTTTTTTATTAATGGTATCAATTGCCCTCTTCTGATAAAATGTATTAATTTTTTAATCATATTCAATTTGTATTATCTGTACTAGTTCTAATAACACAATTTGCTATATCTATTAAATCTTAGATAACCCACTTTTGAGCATACTGACTAATCCATCAAACATTAAAACTSTCTTGGTTTAGGACTTCCGCGGAGGGGCTGCGAGATGACAATTGATTTATGTTGGTTGAGTGGGTAAACTTAAATGAAATAGACTTAATATTTTACAAACATTTGCAGATATTGTTTCTTTAGAATATGTAACCAAGTCTAAAATAAAAATAATTTTTTAAATTAAACTAAACATTGAATGGTTTAAATTGTTTATATTAAATAAATTGACAAGACAAAAATTAAATGAGAGCAATTGAMTCGTGTCCAAAATTATATTTAAAGTTAAGTTTACTAAAATACATAATTATAGTTTCAAAAATATATATATATTTTTTTATCCTTTAAAGGAACAGCCATTCACGCTTTAATGAAATCTTCACTTGTAATACTATTTAACCATTGGTTGTTAATTTTAAATAAACTGTTAAGATACAGTTCTGAGTGTGAGCAATTCATTCATGTCCAAAATAATATTTAAAATTAAGTTAACTAAAGTACTTAATTATAGTTTCGAAAATATTGGTTTTTTATCCTTTGTAGCAACAGCCATTGATGCTTTAATGAAATCTTCACTTTGTAATAATATTTGATTCCAATCTGCCTGTAAATTGAATATTATTTTTTATATTAGTTCACCAATAAACTTGAATTTACGAATGTAATAACATTACTAATTGTTTTTAATAAAATAGTGTAAACAGTAAAAGTATTTATAAGTCAAATAGGTATTAAACAAATTTAAATTTAGTAATGAGTAATTTTAAATTATTTGAAGGTATTRACACATTAACTCYWTGTGCCTGCAAATATTGTATATTGCCAGGTGCGTCTTTTCATGTCATTCCAAATTTATATTGTTATTGATTTGTAAAAATATTTAAAATATAAAAATATATACTACATCAAAACAATGATAATGAGTCCACTACACTTTACTTTTTTTTTATTCATTATTATAGCACCATGAAAAAGCTTATAATATAAAACCATATTAATTTATGGTCGCTGGTTGTTGTAAATTATGGTAGTAACGATCAAAAATGGACGCTGGTAGGTATATGGCGGTTAATGTGTTAACATAGAAAGTGTGACTTTGTTGTTTAAGCTTTTATTAAAAAACTAGAACAGTGAGTTACTATTATTCATTTTTAATACTCGCTAACTTACAATATGATCCAATCCTTCTTGAACAGTGTGATCTCGTGAATAAATTATGCTTCTTTTGGTCATTTGGACTCCTACAGGACTTTTGCTGGCTATGTCTGAAGCAATGTTCATAACATTTTCCAACATACTAAAAATTAATAACTATATAAGTACAAAGATAATCATTGTGGTGCATAAATTCATTAGGAGTACAAAAATATATAATTTGCTTTCTTAAATTACAATAAACTTTAAAAACAATTAAAAATCAGTAGGTAATTAATATGTAAAAGTAAATCATTATCAAAATTACCTTTCTTTAGTTTCATAAACTTGAGTCACAAAACCAATACTTTTAGCTTCTTCAGAATGAAATTTACGAGCAGTAAATGCTAATTCATTGAATGTACTTATACTCCCAATAATTTTTTGCATCCTTTGCAATGTACCAACATCTGCTGCCATTCCTATTTTAATAAACATAAAGKCATTAATAAATGTTCAACCAGGCTAAATTTTAAGATCTTAACTTAAAATTGTTGATCAACTTTAGTAAAACAAAAAAATAGTCAAGCAACTAAAAAGCAATTTTCCATAAGAAAATATCATATTATTATAAGATAATATTTCAAAGTCTAACAAACCAATTTCAGTTTCTTTTAGTTGAAACCAAGCATCTTTTGTGCAATATCTTATATCTGCAGCTGAAACTAGATCAACTCCACCGCCAATACATCCATTATGAATAGCAGTCAACACAGGTTTATCACACTGACAAATTAAATTAAAATGTTTTCATTTAAAATTTGAATATTTAAAAATAGATATTTGCTTAATAATAGGTTTATACATATTTAGAATAAATAAATAATTTGTTTATTTTTAATAGCRATTTTGAGAATAATTATACGAATTACGAGTATTAATAAAATATAATAATACTTTTTCAAGTGATGTGAGACAATCTTGATATGTCTTAATAAAACAATGTAAAACTTTTGATTTTCTTGCAATGTCATCATGATTTGCAATCTCTTGGCCAAGATTCATGATGTCAAATAAATCAATTCCTATTGGACAAAAAAATAATAATATGTGAATATCATACCTTCTCAACACAATAAAAATTTGTTATTGAATATCTAATGATCATAAGAATAAGTGAATTATTTTTTATCAAAATGAGATTATAAAATTAATTTTGAATAAAATATTAAACTCTGAGCAGTGGGGAACAGGCCAATTCTTTTTATTCCCATGCGACACACTGCTATTGAAACYGGTTCTTCTGAGGTGGGGATTTTCAGAAGAACATAATTACATTGATAAATAGTATGTTATTTTACTGGACAGAATATTAGTCTAATACATATGTATATTATTAGTATTCAACATTTAAATTGTACCTGAAGTGAAATATTTKCCATTAGCTGAAAGAACAATTACTCGGCAATCTGTGTTCTGATTTAGTTCATTGAAACATTTTCCTATTTCCCTGAAAATAAGTTTATAATATTGGTCACATGATATACTTTAATTGTTTCTTAAGACTTTCATCAAATTTCTCACTAAATCTCAAGAACACAAATTATTTTACGTTTTAATTTACCACTTATGTTGTATAAATTGARTTGTGGCAATGTAATAGATTTTTTCTGTACTGCATTGCAATTATACAGTATAATTTGGGTTTTCTCAAGGTTTTTTTAGGGTCAGAGGTAAATTAGTGTAAGGGCATTTTGACCATCATAACATGGGACGATAAACTAAGTGCTCATTAAAATTAAAATAATTCTTGCAAATGTATTTTTTCAAACCTTAACCAACCAAGCTCATTTAAATTCATGTACTGCATTACATTTTTAACAATATTATAACAATGTATTACCAAATATACTAAAAAATATAATCTATATTCTATACCAAGATAATAAAAAACATTCATGTTTTTCATCTAAAATTATTGTCTACACACAGTCCTCTATACCATAGAAAATTGAGCATTGTTATTGTAATTGAACCACTAAATAATAAATTATATTATAGGAGTATTATATATATGTGGTTGACACAAGACTTTAATGGGGCCTTTTAAAAATATACCAAAAATTAGCTTGAGGTAAAATGGTCCCATTGTCCCCTTCTCCCCCCATCTGAATGACCATAATGAATATAATCACATAAATTATAGAAAATATTAATCGATTTATAGTTCATTGTTTATATCACCTATGTAGTATGTATCTCAAATAAATTATGTAAAATATATTTAAGTTATATTAGTAGTAGTTATAATAAGTAGAAAACATGTACTTATTATAGGTTTTATTATTATAATTATATGATTAGAACACAGTTTGTACTCTAGTCATAATAAAAACGGGTTCCCTTTAGAATTTTAATTGCCTGCATTACTTAACTTTATAAGTATAATGAATAATGACTATCAAACTTTCTAAAATTAGTAAATAATAAATTCATAAGATTTAAGTATAGATAACAAACTTATAGTTTGAGGATCTTAGTGAACTTTGGTTAGCCTTGAATTAAAATAAAAAAGAACTACTAATAACAGAAATATCAATGTATAATAATTTGATTGGGTCTTGTAGAATGTTATAGAAGAAATAAATTGAAACTTCCAAATCCAAATGGAAGTATTTAGTGGCTCTTAAACTTTCTACTAGCTTAAAGCTTTAAATATCAATCACAGGATCACAGAATATATGTACACATTTTAAAATATTACTTACAGCCACATTGTTTTGTTCATTGCATTAGCTTTTTCTGGTCTATTTATTTGGACACTATAAACATGCTCTTTGGAATTTTCAATTTTTAGTGTATGATATTGAGACATTGCACTAATTTTTGATATATCTAGAAAATAATTAAAACAAAAAATACATTAGTTTGTTCTTATTAAATATTAATAACAATTTTTAATTTACTTCGGAAAAATGAAACTCCTTTTTGGAATTTAGAGATTCCTAAAAACATGGTTAATTATATGAACACCTATGAAATAATGTTATGTAAGTATTTATTAGTAATGGATTTTACTTTTGTWTGTTTTAATTAACTCAATACCAAACAATTTAATAAAATATCATGAATCGTAGGTATTTATCGTTAAGTGTTAAGTACAATAATGAGTACAATACTATAATACTGCAAGGTGATATATGTTAACTAGTAGTACTATGAAATTCAGATTGTAAAATTAWTAATTGGGACGTTTAAATCAAAATATACAATGATTTAAAGTATTTAGATAAAAAATAATTATGTCCAATGATTGGACTCAATTTAAAACTTTCACTTTGTTCACGGACTTAAGATCATGACATTGCGGCACAAATGATTGTGCATTATTCAACAAATACTTTGGCWATACAATTCAAATTGTTCTATAGTAATCACGACTTTAGATGATATCTAAAACTGTGATAATGATATCAATATATCATGGACAAATAATTAACAATAAAAATATATCCAAATAAGTGATTTTGATCAAAATATGGAGATGTCTCATTGTCTCATAGCTCTTAAGAGCTAACAACAATTGTTGTTGCCACTTATTAATACCCTGCTCTTAAATTATATTCAATTCGTAAATCTTTAAAATAAAAAGTGTTGAAATTTATTTATGGCGTTGGACCTCTCTCTCTCTCTCTCTCTCACCAATGACATTTTCCATAAGAGTTGAAGAGAGGTAACGATAGAATGGATTTTATATCAATTTTCTTTGTCTTCAAAACAAACTGCTCTAGCATTTAGGAAATACAGTATTTTTCACGGGCAAATGTAAACTGGGTCCTAAGTTATCTTCTTTTTTTTTGTTAACTTGACTCGAAAATTTTAGATTTAAAATAGGTAGATTGTAAACTCATCCCGAAAACATCAGGTGATAAAAAAGGTAGTACGCGTATGAAATATAATAAGCACGACATAATTTAATCTGTAAATAATAAATAATTAAAAGAAGTTCAAACAGAAACATACATTAAAATTAAAAAGCTTAGATGCACCATATCAATTCCAGCATATTATGAAAAATAGGTAATAAAAAAAGAGAACTCTTAGAAAGAATGCTTACAAAATATAAAAATAATGAAATATCGCGGGTTAATGAATACGTTAAACAATAAACACATGGCTCTTTTTAATAAAAAAATAGATTTATATATTATTTATTTTTCACTTATATTTTTACATTTTTGTACACTTTTTTGTGTCGTTTGGGCAATGTTAAATGGTTCTCAAAAATATTGTGAGAAAATTATATGTACATTTTTATTTGGATTTACACGTCAATCATTTTTACCTGCAAAAACCCTTTTAATTTTGAACATAGACTCATCTCTAAGACACTAAATTATCTATACTTCAGCAATTTTTTTTCTAATTTTTATTTTTTTTACTTAGAAATTTACCAACAAAGAGAGAAAAAATAGATCCCATTAATATTTCAAATTTCAATACACACACACATATATTATATATAGAATATGAAAAAAAAAAAATAGTTAAATCTCATAAATCGTAGTAAATTTAAAGGAAAATTAAAATCAGAATATCTTACTGAGCGTGGTGGGTGATTGAAATCACTTTAAAAAAAAATGTTTATAATTTCATAAGGAAATAGGTAATCGACATGACGTGATTGTGCAATTTACGAGTATAATAATTAATATGCGGGTTATGATCTTTCGGTGCCGGATACTCCACTCGATCTTATGATTTAAACATACTAACATTCATTTACTTTTCACACAGAACAAATATAAACGGTTTAATGGTATATGAAATCAGTACCGGACAGACAAGGTATCGGCCCACTGAGTTTTAGGATTTTTACCAGCCCTAAAAGATCCGTTTTCAAATGAACATAGATTTTACGCGGCTCACCGAA